CCCAGTTCGTAGTAATCAACACAGTTTGAGTCTTTCATGTTGCTGGTGACAATTCAAAGATGACAAAAACTCATTTCTTTTGTTGTGTTGCGTGTACAAATGGTAAAGAACAAAGAAGAAAAGGAGAAGCTCTACAGATTATTACGTGAATAGTACAGAGACACACAGACATAGAAGAATATATAATAAAGTCACCCTGTGTTTCGTAAATTCTTAACAATAAGAGGTCTAAGGTGGAAGCTGGCTGAATTGGACGGATAGTACAGGTACCCGTTAACCCGTACGGGTTTGAGATAGGGGTGGGAAACAATCCGGTCCAGTTAAAACCGGACCGGATTGACCCGGTTTTTTATAACCGTTTTGGCAAATATCACAACCGGAGACGGGATTGGATTTTATCCGGTTTCAACCGTAACCGGATTGGGTCTGATCCGGTTTTAAACCGAAAATAGGGCTGGCATTAACCCCTCCCAGAACGTTGTCGTTTGAATAAAAATTGAGGAAGAAAAATTAAAATCAATAAAAATAAAAAAGAAAAGAGGGATCTAAGATATCTCCTTCCTCCACTTCTCGACAACTCCCTACCTTTCTCAATCTCTCTCTATTCTGGAAATAAAAAATTTCTATACTCCCATTCTTTCTCGATCTTTCATTTGCCTTTTCTCCTCCGTCGCGCGTAAGGGACCCGGAGAGCTCCCTGCCTACTTCATCGCCGTCGTCGTGCATGTCTCGATCTGGGAGAGAAACAGAGCGACAGCCGCTTCAAATCGTCTGGTGAGACTGAGAAGAGAGAGGCAGAGTTGCGGTTGCTCCAAATCGATCGTCTTGGTGTCGACGCTGCCGCCGCTGCCATGGAGTCGGATGAGAGGCAAGCAGAGAGGGTGAGTGAGATAGAGTGGGATTTGGGAGATGAGAGGGTGGTTTTTGGCTTTGCCGCTGGGAAGAGATTGGAGAGAAGGAAAGAGATCGAAGAAATGCGGGTGCGCCTTTGAGTGTGAGCTCGAGGGAGACGATGTAGGGTTGTGGAGTCGGGCTTTAGGGGTTTGGGAGGGTTGGTGGGCCTATAGCTGGGCTCCGGCCTAATTAAGTTGTTGAGGGAAGTGGGTTTGCTGGAGAGATGGGGTTGGCTCAAGCTGGGCTATCTGGTTTTCCGGTTTTAACCGGATCGGACCGGGCTGTGACCACTGCAACTGCAAACTGGATTGGGTTACTTGGAATTCGATTTCCGGTTACAACCGGGACGGTTTAAACTGGTTAGTTTCTGGTTTGATCGAAAAACCGGGACCGAATTCCCAACCATAGTTTGAGATATGGAATGGAGATTGTTTTCTAAATGAAACTGGATATCCACTTGAAACGGGACGAGTATCCTGTCCCATCCCGTTGCCGGGTTGGATCCAGTCCTTAAGCCCTATTTTTTAAGAAGGATCTTAAATCTATTCTAACCAATAGGAGAAGGAGAGAGGTAAGCAATAGCAATGATTGATTAACTACCCAAAAGGGTACGAAAGGAATAAAAAAAAAACATTGACATTAAATTCAACTAGTTTATTACCCTCCCGTTGGGCAGTGGATTATGTTTGGTTATTTTATAATTCGCTATAGTATTCTAATTATTATTATTATTATTATTATTATTTATTTTTGTTGACTCACCAAAAAAATATTATTTATTTTTTTGGAGCTAATATACATGAAATTGTAAATCTCACTTACCTTATTTTACGTAATGTTTCATACTCTTAAACCTTTTTTATTTATGAAAATTTTAATTGTATTAACTAAGCTCTCTGTAGATTGTTCTTTATCGATTTAGAATTTTGTATCGAACTCAAAAAAGTGATAAAGAAGTTAAAAATTTGAAGGCCTCAAATGGAGAAGTTAGAATAAGAAAATATGCGTCAATTAATAAATAAAAAAGCGAAGAGCTTTTCATTTTCTTTCCCTTCTCATATGTCTGTATAAGATAATAGAAAATATTCCAATCTAGATTCCACGAATATCGTGTATTATCAACTAACCTACAATTATGGAATAATGATGAAACACATTAGCATCCACACCAATCAATCTTACGCATACTCATTTAATTTATCTTGGCAATGTTCTAGCAAAACCAATCACAAACAGAACTATCAGTTGTCACTAATTTATTAAAGCAATATTTTCAACAAACTAAATTGCATATAAACACAATTTATATTTTATAGAGAGCTACATATCTCTTGCAGGGAAAATGGTGATTTTTTTACCAAATAACGACGTAGACAAATAATGAAAGGAGCATACTTCAATACAACTCAACTCATTCTATCTTGCATATTCCTAATTTGTGAACTGAATTTATGCACTAATCCAAATAGTAGTTGGTAAGAAAACAATCATGTCAAAATTAAATTTTAGTTAGGAATTCAATGAGAAAAAATCCACCCTAATGAAATAAACAAATGTCATTGCAAATGTAGAAATTGAAAAAACATCGAAATACACAACCGAGGAACCACTACCATCATTTTTTTTCTTCTTCGCGACCTTTATAAAACCCCAATTATGTTCCCTTCTACTTATAAGTTATAATCTCATTGCTACGTACTAATTACAACCAGATTGTCATCTTATAGCTAGCTAGTAGCATGTCAATCATGAACGTAAAGAATATAGTGAACAACCTCACAACTCTACTTTCCATTTCATCATCTAAAGAACCGGGTTGCAATAGACATTTAAGAAAAACGATCAATTATTCAACCAAAGGAGATATGCCCTAAATACAACCAATTATCCCTTCTAATTATATATTCCCTATTTACATAAAAGTATATGACGTAATAGAGAACATAAAACAACTACGTGAAAACGAAGAAGAAATACATTCACTCATCGAGTGGGGGAAATTTACCATCCAGCAGTCTTAATTTGGAAGAAATTAAGAAAAGAATGGAAAGAAGAGTGAGCAGTTGCCAACTTCATATCAAGGAGGAAGAAGGAGCAATCGACAATCCTCGATTTGGTTCACCTCATCTTCACAATGAAAGGATGAATTGTTTTCATCAACAGGCAAAAATATGTTACAACTTCTCAAAATTTTGCAATCTAATCATTGCCTCGTGCCTCCCTCCTCCTATTCTCCTACAAAGAAAAAAAAACTTCATATGTATTATCATTTCCTTCTCTATCTAATTACTTATTTCAATGTTGAATTTTATTTCTGGAGAGATAATCAAAATGAGAAAAGGGTAGAGATAAATTAAAATGTTGCATTCATAATTAATATGTTTTCATTTAATCGGAATGAATAAGAAGTGTTTTAAAAAATAACAATTATTGTTATGTCAAGTTTATCTTCAGACCTTTTCTATGTAAATTATACTTGTTTTAATTTATAAGTATTTGTATCAGGAAGAAGTGAGTGCTTGATAACAAAAAATATATAGTCATATAATTTATTTTTCAAAGTCGATTGATTGTCAAACACTTATTTTCTCTTAGGACATCGTTTAAATTTTATTTAATTGAAAAATTATTATTATTCATATGTGTGCTTCTTTTTTTTCATCAAAATGTAACTTATTATAAAATTTTAGTAAAAATGAATAGAAAATTTACTTTATAATATTTAATAAGATATTTTGGGTTAAACAAATACGATTTATGTCACTCTCTATTTTCATCTTTATAGTTTGTTTAATTGAAAAAAAAATTACTTATGTGTGTTTGTTTGCTTAAATGTTTAAAAAAATGTAACTTACTTTAAGTTTTAGTAAAAATGAGTAGAATTATTAAAAGAAGAGAGAGATAGCTCCATAAATAGATCAATAAATAAAATTTTGTTTGTATAAACATTATCCACCTTGGCATCTTGTGAATTCACCAATGTTGACGTATGTGTATTGCATGGATCGGCCCATGCATTTTGTAGGCCCTCGTTATATGTAGATGGGCTAGGGTTGGTCGTTTTTGTTTGTTCTCTTCCACCCTCATTGTAAGCTATATATATAGCTATTCTGCCTCCTTGTACGATCACCAAAAACCTAATAAGATTCTACAGCTCGGAGAGTGCCTACTCTCCCGTGGACTAGTCCCGAATCTCGGGGATACCACGTAAATCGGTGTGTGTCTGTTTCGTTTATCGCTACGCTAAATTCGTTATAAGCATCCTGAACTGTTAACATGGTATCAGAGCTTTCGTCTGCCGATTCCGATCGTCTTGCCGTTCGTCTCAATTCGAAGAACTATGCTCTTTGGGAGTTTCAGTTTCGTATATTCGTTGAAGGCAAAGGCTTCCTTGGTGTCTTGGACGGTTCTTCTCCACGTCCCGATGATTCTGCTGCTGATGATGTCAAGGCCAGGTGGAATATGGCCAATGCGAGGGTCAAATCTTGGATTTTGGGGTCGGTTGATCCGACCATCGTTCTTGGCCTCCGTCTCTTTTCTGATGCTACTGAGATGTGGAGACACTTAGCTTCTACATACTCGGTCAACAACATCGCTCGTCAGTTCGAGGTTCAAGTCGAGATGGCGCGGCTTGAACAGGGTGATCGTGACGTCGCCGCCTACTACAATGCTGCTCAGGAGCTTTGGACCGAGCAGGACCTGCTCACGGCGGCGCTCAGTTCGAAGGAGACCTCGGCAGAGGTCATAGCTGACAGGAAACAGGGTCGTATCCTCCAGTTCCTAGGTCGTCTTCGTCCGGAATATGAAGCTGTCCGTTCTTCTCTCGTTAATTGCGATGAGCTCACTATGGAAGGCGTTCTCGGTAAGCTTATTCGGGAAGAGACGCGGTTACGAACTCAGGCGCAATTGACGATTCGTCCGGGCGAAGGAGAGGCTGTTTTTTCTGTGTCTCAATCAGCCTCTGATACGGCCTATGCTGTTGGTAAGCCTCAGTTTACTCGTCGTCCTGTATCTGAAATTCAGTGCCACCATTGCCATGTTATGGGCCATCTGCAGAAGCATTGTCGGCAGAGAAATATGTGTAATTATTGCAAGAAACCTGGACATATAATTCTCGAATGCCCAGTCCTTCAAAATCGTCGTCGCAATACTCCACCCCCAGCTCGTCCGGACGCGGGAATTCTGCCCACTCCCGCATTTTTCACCCAGCCAGCCGCTTCTTCTGGCTCATCCTCAACCTCGGTGGATGCTGAAACTATTGAGAAATATGTTCAAGCTGCTATCCAGCGGAGCCTTCCAACTGCTATAAGCTCCGCATTCGCCACTATGCAAGGTTCAGGTATGGGTACTCCTTGGTTGCTTGACTCGGCATGTTATAATCATATGACAGGAAATAAGTCTCTTATTCACAATGTTTCGAAGACAGCGGGGTTGAGTTTGCAGGTGGCTAATGGTCAAAAATTGAATGTGGCAGGAGTTGGTAACATAGATAAGCGGCATCTAATGTTACCCAATACTTTGTTTGTTCCTAATCTGGTTCCCAATCTTGTGTCTGTTGGCCAATTGACTGAACAGGGATACCGTGTTGTGTTTGCCTCTTCTGGTTGTGTTGTGCAGGACGCGACGACGGGGAGGGAGGTCGGTCACGGGAGTAAACATGGGCGCATCTTTCAGTTAGAGGACCTTTCGGATCAGTCACTCCCTTCGTCGGTGTCTAGGGATGTTCCCTCTTTCTCGTGTTCTGTGTTTTCTAGTTTACCAGATCAAACTTTTCATCTTTGGCACTCTCGTCTTGGGCATCCTCATTTAAGTCGGCTTGTATCGATGTTGAAACTCAAACTTTTTGGTAATAATGTGACTGGTGGTTCCTCTAAGCTTTTTTGTAAGAGCTGTGTCGAAGCTAAATCTACTCGTATTTCTTTTCCCTCGAGTACTACTGAGATTACCGCACCTTTCCATCTTATTCATACCGACTTGTGGGGTCCGAGCCCTGTTCTTTCTCGTCATGGCTTCAAGTATTTTGCTCTTTTTGTTGATCAGGCTACTCGTTTTGTTTGGGTTTACTTTCTTCGTCTCAAGTCCGATCTTCTTTCGGTTGCGACTGATTTCCTTGCTATGGTCAAAACTCAGTTTGATAAACCGGTTCGTATTATTCGCTCTGATGAAGGGGGAGAATTTAGTTCCAATGACTTGTCTGTTCTATTTCGCTCTCATGGCATCCTGCCTCAAAAATCATGTCCGGGTACGTCTCAGCAAAACGGGGTCGTTGAGCGTAAAAATCGACATGTTTTGGAAATTACTCGTGCTTTGCTTTTTGAGTCTCATGTTCCTCCTCGTTTTTGGCCCGAAGCTGTTGCTACCGCAGTTCGTCTTATGAACTTTCAAATTACTCCCCTTCTTAAAAATACGAGTCCCTATTTCTCTCTTTTTGGCTCTCATCCTGACTATTCGCGCCTCCGCGTTTTTGGTTGTACAGCTTTTGTTCTTCTTCCTCGTCATGAACGTCCCAAGTTATCCTCTAAAACTGCCCGTTGCGTGTTTCTGGGATATAGTTCGGTCCATAAAGGGTATATTTGTTATGATCCTACCCTTGATCGTATTCGTATCTCGTGTAATGTCGTTTTTTTTTAACATCTTCCTTTCTTTTCCCCTACGTCTGAATCCCGTGCCTTTGTCTCCTTCTTGAGTCCTCCTCTGACGGATTTTTTTGATGATGCGCTCACCGACTCCCTGCCGCACCCCGACCCCTCCCCGCCACCCTCCCCGCATTCGCCTGCTTCGCCGTCCACTAGCGTGGAATTGACGGACATAGACGCTTCTTCCAGTCCCACGCCTACTCCGCCAGCTCCAGTCCCTCGTCGTTCCCACCGAACTAATCTTGGCCAGCCACCTTCCTATTTGAAGGACTTTGTTTCGTTTCAGGTGGATTCTATTATTGTTCCTACTAGGTACAAGGAGGCATTGGGTGACCCACGGTGGGGGGAGGCCATGGATGTTGAAATTGATGCAATCCATGCTAACGACACTTGGGATGTGGTTGATCGTCCGGAGAATGTTCCCATTGTTGGTTCTCGATGGGTATATGCATTAAAGATGAAGCCCGATGGTACGCTGGAGCGGTTCAAAGCTCGTGTTGTAGCTCAGGGTTTTAGCCAGGAGTTTGGCATTGATTACACAGAAACATTTGCTCCTGTTGCTAAACTCCAGACTGTTCGTACCCTTCTTGCTGTAGCTGCTATTCGAAATTGGCCTCTGTTCCAGCTCGACGTGAAGAATGCTTTTCTTAATGGTGAGCTCAAGGAGGTTGTCTACATGGCTCCTCCTCCTGGTTACAAACTTGCCAAGCCGAACCAGGTATGTCGGCTGAAGCGCTCTCTCTATGGGCTGAAGCAGGCTCCTCGTGCCTGGTTTGACAAGTTTCAAGAGACCATTCTCCAGCTAGGTTTTCATCAAAGTTCTAATGATCCATCATTGTTTCTTCGTAGTACCTCTTCTGGCTTGGTTGCCTTGCTTCTCTATGTTGATGATATGGTAGTTACAGGTGATGATGCTGCCGGTATCAAGCATCTCACTCAAGGTCTGCATGATGCCTTTAATTTGAAGGAACTCGGTTCTCTGTCTTACTTCCTGGGGCTTGAGGTAGTGAGAACAGATGCAGGTATTTTGCTTAGTCAACGTCGCTACATAGATGATTTACTTCATGATCATCGTTTTGAGTCTTGTAAACCAGCGTCTACCCCTATGGAGGTGAATGTCAAGTTTAGCAGGGAATCTGACACTCCTCTCTCTGATGGTTCGCAGTACAGGTCCATTGTGGGTAGCCTTCTCTATCTTACCCACACTCGGCCTGATATTTCCTACTCTGTTCAGGTGCTTAGTCAGTTTATGGCTCGGCCGCATGATGTTCATCTTGCTGCCGTTTTTCGTCTACTTCGCTATCTTCAACAAACCAAGGATGTGGGTATTTTCTTTCCTTCTCATGGCTCTCTCACTCTTCAGGCATACTCTGATTCGGATTTTGCTGGGTGTCTTGACACCCGTCGTTCGACGACTGGTTGGTATGTCAAATTCGGGGAGGCTTTTGTTTCTTGGCGCTGTAAGAAGCAGGATAAGGTTTCTAAGTCTTCCACTGAGGCTGAATATCGTGCCATGTCTGATGTGAGTTCAGAATTGATTTGGTTGCAGCGACTCCTCTTGGATTTTGGCATCACTTGTGTTTCTCCTCTCTCGCTCTATGTTGACAATACCAGTGCTATTCAGATTGCTGTTAACCCCGTTCTTCATGAGCGCACCAAGCACATCGAGATTCACATTCACTGTGTTCGTGATTTGGTGTCTGCTGGTACCTTAGTTCTTCACTACTTGCCTACTGAACATCAAGTGGCTGATATTTTCACTAAGGCTTTTTCTACCAGTCGTCATTGGTTTCTGTCTAGCAAATTGATGCTTCGCGAGCGGCATCAATTTGGGGGAGGCTGTTGACGTATGTGTATTGCATGGATCGGCCCATGCATTGTAGGCCCTCGTTATATGTAGATGGGCTAGGGTTGGTCGTTTTTGTTTGTTCTCTTCCACCCTCATTGTAAGCTATATATATAGCTATTCTGCCTCCTTGTACGATCACCAAAAACCTAATAAGATTCTACAGCTCGGAGAGTGCCTACTCTCCCGTGGACTAGTCCCGAATCTCGGGGATACCACGTAAATCGGTGTGTGTCTGTTTCGTTTATCGCTACGCTAAATTCATTATAAGCATCCTGAACTGTTAACAACCAAGTGCTTATGTGGCAAGAAGTTACTTTTGAATAGCCATAATATTAAGTATAGAAGATAGATAGATATAGATACTTAAAAAAGGAAAACCAGCTTTCCCTCTTAAATTCGGTACCTAATTAATACACAAATTAAAATAAAATAATAAAAACCCGAAATTAATATTTAATATTTAAAATGAAATTTTAAAATAAAAAATATCTACTCCCCCTCTCTATAGCGACTTGCAATAGCATTATTAATGTTTGTACTGGTATTATTAATGTTTATGAAATATATAATTAATAATATAACTATTATTATTAACAATTTCAATAAGCTTATAATTACATTGTTAACAATTTGGATAAATTTTGACTTATTTACATTTTCCTCGCCAATGTGTATGATGAAATTATTAACATTGTACCACATCATTATTAATGAGTAAAAAATTATTATCATTGATTTCCAACATATTTGTTAATAATTCAAATTTCCACGTCATGCTCATAACTAACAGATCACGACCTCTTACAATGACTTCTAATGACATTATTAATTTTACGAATGATTGATATCGTTTTACATTATCGTTCTAAGTGATCATAAAACACAACCTATTTCCTATGGAAAATGGAAATTAAAACCCTAACCCATTTCCTCAAAACCGCTACACCCCTCTCTTTCTATCGTCATCTTCGCCAGTCTTTCACCTCCGCTCCCTTCCACCAGCCCCACCCTATCAAGCCGTCGTCACACTAAGCCATCGTTGCAAGTGGTCGTCGAGCTGAGCCGTTGATAATGATCTATAATAACCCATGATAAAACGTTATTCATTGAGCATTGGTAAAAAAAATATTGATAATGACATAAACAGATTTTTAATAAAGACATTTAGTAATGTTACTAACTTCACCAAAAATTACAAAAGAATACCTAAGAAGCATATGACAAAAATTGATAATGATTTGACAAAGTTACTAACGTTTGCAAAAAAAATTACAAATAACCTTACACAAGTAAAAATTAATAGCGCAATAAAAAAATTGATAACGACATAACAAATTTTGATAATGGCATTTGGCAATGTTACTTACATCACCAATTAAATTAAAAGTAAAGACGGCTAATGTTACAAACAAAAACCTTAAAAACACGAGACGAAAAATTGCTAATGGTATTTGATAAAATTACAAACATAAGCAATTTTTTTTACAAATAACGTTACAAGGTTACAGAATAAACAAATAAGGTAAGCGAATTGATAATGGTATTTGATAAAATTACAAACGTAATTTTACAAACGTAAGCAAATTGATAATGGTATTTGATAAAATTATAAACGTAAGCAAATTTTTTTACAAATAACGTTACAGAATAAACAAATACATAATGACATTTTGCAAGGTTACTAGTGTCACCAATAAAATTAAAAATAAAGACTTTATAGTTAATAATTACAAACACAAAACAGGGTTATAAACTTACCTTGTCCAACAAAGCAACGAGTAGCCGTAAGGAGGTGGAGATTGGTGATACACCGATCGGCGAAGAACTCCAGCCAGTAGAGGGGACTGAGACCTGACCGACGACCCGATGTGAATGGACGACCAACCGACAACTCGTAGCGGGACAGAGACCGTACCGACGACCCGACGCGGGGGACTACCAACTGACGAACTGCAGCATGACGGAGACCGGATCAACAACCTGCAATGAATGAGTTGGCGACTGGAACGACGACCTGCAGCGGGGGAAGTTGAGGCGCCGACTGGTTGAAGAGAGAGAAGGCTCGATGTAATTAGGTTAAATGAGGAGGTGACGTGATTAATTATGTTAATAGTTTTAATTAGATTAAGTTTAAATTATTTAGAGTTCCCTTAAATACCCTTATTAACTAATTAACGTATAACTCCTTATTAACTACCTAACACCCATCAAACCAATAGAAACACTTTAAGATCCTTCTTAAAAAATGGGGTTTAAGGACCTGAACTCAGGCCATTCCGTTGCCCACCTCTAGCAAATCAAAGTTGGCCTTTCTCACGTTCAGCACCGAAATGGAAAGTCCCCGACCACATTTCCCTTTTTCTTTTCCAGATAATATATGTTACAAATTCGATATTTTTTTCTTCTTTTCTGATAAATATTTACTTGCGCGCATGGTTGTCAAACCGGTGGTATGCCGGCCGGTTGAACCAGGTTCAACCGGTGCCGGTCATAAAACCGGCTGGAATACCACCGGTTTGATGTTGTGGTCAACACCGGTCAATGCCGGTCAAATCCGGTCAGACCCGGGAATTTCGGTGGTTCAACCGGAATGTTAAAGTGCCGGTATCTGAAGTTTGAACACATATATATTCATCACTGCCGGAGAATGGGTGGCCAGAGCTTGGCAGTTTATCTTCTAGTGTGTTTCATCTCATTCCCCTGCATTGCAGAGATCATAAATCGCCTTGCTGCTAGGAGACGAGAAGTGAAGATGAGGGCCAAATGGAGGGTCATAAGGAAGAGATTGACCTCCCATTCTAGTGTTTATTTCATCGGAGAGAAGAAGGAGAAGAGGGCAAATCAATTGAGAGTAGGGAAGAGAGATATTTCCCCTTTCGAGCGGCTGCGGAACAGAAAAAAGGAGAGGGAGGGAGAGGGACACAGGCGGCTAGGGTTGGGGAAAGGTGCACGGGGGGATTTTGGGAGGAAGGGTAGTACACAGCTCTCTCCCTCTTTTCCCTTCTTTATCTTTTTTTGTTTGTATATTTTATTTACTTTTTATAATTTTATTTTTCTTACTAATTACTACAACCGGTATAAACCGGCATACATACCGGTTGTACCACGGTTAAACCAATCCACTTACTAAACCGGCATAACGGTATAAACCGGTTTGACAACCTTGCTTGCGCGTTATCCGTTTAAGGATTTCCCACGAAAAGGAAAGCTGCAAGCCGGAGTACCATATGGGAAAATATCATGCGGAACTTACCATTTTCTCCCTACAGTCAGGGTGGACTGACTCACTGTGTAGACAATTGCGCAAGGATATTACCGACAATACCTCTCTAGATAAAATCAGAAAAATCCAAAACAATTATAGAAAAGGAGGGTTGTATTACCAAAAATAGAGTCTCTTCAAGGAAGCACGAGCGCACACCTGAGCGCAATCCATAGCCATTTCAGGCCATCTTTTTTCTCCAGTCTTCGTCTTCGTTTTCTTCCCCCCGTTTTCTTCCCCCTTTCATGCTGCTGCTGCTTCTTCTTCTTCAGCTGAAAATCAGAGTTCCGTTCAATTTCAGCAGGATTCCCTCGCACGCTGCCCTTAGGGTTTATTGAAGAAGCCCCTTTGTCTCAAGTGAAGGAAAAGCGAAACGTTTCTTGCAATGGAACAGGTCTAGCTGCTCTGCTGGCTACAGCTTGCGGCATGTAGAAAAGAAGCAGAGAGAACGGTGAGGGAGGAAGCCGCGAGGAGAAGTCAGGGTTCATATTAATTTAAAATCCTTTTTTCTCTCCACGCTAAATGGCGGCTGCAACGAATCCCCAGCCGCTTCAGGCTCGTCCCTACGAGGAAACCGACGCCGAATTACTGGTAGGGATCGAAGAGGACGAAGATGACGGAGGAGGAATAGGAGTAGGAGGCGATGACTACGATGTTGTCGGCCCCATGGACATGGATGATGATGACGGCGATGACGTGGAAGATGCGGGCGTGAATTCGGCGGCCTTCAACGCGGCCGACCATCATCGTACTCCAGAAGGTGGGAGTGTTATTGGTGGTGGTGGTGTGGCTATGGCTTCCAGCAGGACCAGCGAGCTCACTCTGTCTTTTGAGGGCGAAGTCTATGTTTTCCCTGCCGTTACTCCCGAAAAGGTTAACTTCCCCTTGCTTCAATTAGACTAGAAAAGAATTAGGATGCTTGACTTGCTTTGAGTGTCCGATTACTTAAAGAAAGGGAATGGGATTCATGGTTACAGGTGCAAGCAGTGCTGCTGCTATTGGGAGGACGGGATGCGCCAACAGGGGTGCCGACCTTTCAAGTACCATTTGATCAAGGCAACCGGGTGGGTAATCCAGGCTTTGATTGACAGTCAGTGTAGTGGATTTGCTGCAGTTATGCTCACTTTTTCGCTTTGCCATACCCGCAGGGTATGGGTGATCCTCCTAAGCGGTCTAACCTCTCGAGAAGGATAGCTTCTCTTGTCAGATTTCGAGAGAAGAGGAAGGAGCGATGTTTCGACAAGAAAATCAGATACAGTGTACGAAAAGAGGTTGCACAGAGGTATCCACATGGTTGGACATTTTGTTCCTACTTTTGGTTCTTCTAGTCTTTTGTGTCTGACTGATTTGCTAGTTAGAGACTAGTAAAAGAGTGTCTGGGTTTGAATCTATCTGCTTAAGTTGACCTTTGTTGAACTCCTGTCAAAATGATGGACCCTTTGTAGTTCAAGGTGTTTTCAAGTTTTAATCTTTGCAAACAGCTCAGATTAGAGTTACAGGTATTGATAATAGTGACAAACACCCTGCATGTGTTGTGGACACAGAAATGGATCACTTTAAAGGAAGCTATCAGGATTCATGAGAATAGATGTACTCTGTATGTATACTGGAAAACAAATACAATTATGGAATCATACTTGAAGAATTGGAAGCTGAACTTGGATGTGGCTTTCCTGTAGTGGTTTCTAGATGCTTTATTTTCCTTCTTTTTGTTGTTGTTGTTGAGATTTTGAGCATATCACTACAGGGCTTTCAGGATTGACAGAATTTGTCTTTTTCCTTGGTTTCTTATAAATCATTAGGATGCATCGCAAGAATGGACAATTTGCTTCCCTGAAAGAAAGTTCAGGTGCCTCAAATTACGACTCTGCACAGAGTTCCCCTCACGATGGCACTTCTCGGCAGGAAACAGTGTGAGTTGATAGCCCTGGGCTTCATAGGCTTTCTTTTGCATCGAGAATCTCTCATGCTGATGATGTCTGGAGATAATTTCATTACTTGACATACATTTAGTTTCTCTAGGCATGTAGTACTAGCTTGGAATTACCTTTCTAACTGTTACATGCAATATTTTAAGCAATAGGAGATGTCAACATTGTGGTGTTGGTGAGAACAATACTCCTGCGATGCGTCGTGGACCAGCTGGGCCGAGGACATTGTGTAATGCATGTGGCCTTATGTGGGCTAATAAGGTGGTCTATGTTTTCCTTTTCCCCTGCTGTGTTTATTTTTTTTTTTTATCATAGTTGAACTCGGGCATCAAGAGTTGCACCTATTTTTTGTTGTTCTGCACCTGATTAGAATTTAAATGTTCCTGGTTTGTAGAGCATAGTTGGCAATCTATCTGCGCTGTGGAGTAAAACGTAATGTACGTGGCATGGAATTAAAAATAATGTTATATTTTGAACAAAATTTAAAGGGCGCAATTAGATGTGACTCGTGAGAGGTCAGACTAAAGGAATGAAAGATTTTCTTAGCTTTCTGCTTGACTGGTTCGTTTCCTGATCATGCTTAGTCATATAAGCCAGCTGAAAGTTTGGGCTAGAGATCCTTATAGATCCAATTTGTTTCTCTTGGTATCCCCGCCTTCTTTTTGTTGTGGAAACTAGGAGCATTGCAGGTTCATTTGATCTTCTGGAATTTGAACTACTTTTAAGGTTTAGTTCGTCAAGAATAACCCTTGTAGAGTTTTAAATTTTAATTGGTAACTTGTTCCCATTAAAATACTCTTCATAGCCTTGTGGTTTCCAATAAAATTGTGTGGTGACTGTTCTCGAGTAATTGTTTCAACTGGCGATCTAGAAAGTCAACATAACATACCTGGTGTTTCCATAGGACCTGCCCAAATTAGTACTCTCAAGGTGAAGTGAGGCTGTAGGTTCTGGTGTTTATGCTTTGCATTTGCTCAAGAAGCCTCAATCACAAAAACCACTCTGTTATTTTTGCTGGTTATTGATTAAAATTTGAATTTGCTGGCTGTTTTGTATCTTCATGTTTTTCTGCTTACTGTTTTATTTTTGCATTCATAATTTTGCAGGGTACGCTGAGAGATCTCAGTAAAGGTGGAAGGAGCGTATCTGTAGATCAAGTTGAACCTGTATGTAAAGAACAGATAACTTCTGTACTCTGATATCTGGTTTTGGGAATTGCCCCCCTCTTGTCTTTTTTGTTTCGCGAGCAACATAACTAGGGTGCTTGGTTGCAAAATTTGTTTCATCAGTAATTCAAGTCTTGTTCCTGGTAGTGTGAGTGAATAGTTCAAGTTAATAGTGTCATTACATTTTGGCTAACATCTAAAAGTTTCCTTTGCAGGGAACCCCAGCTGATGTCAAGCCAGCTCTTGCTGAAGGAGAATTATCTGGAAATCAAGTAAAGCCTTTACCCTTTTCCTCTTGCCTCTTTCATTTAAGACCTCTGAAATTTAAATCCTGTTCATCTTACCATGTATATCTGTTGATATCCAGGTGGTTCATAATGTTGCTTCTGAGGTCATTACTGGAGGGTCCACTTATTCTATTAATCCAGATCAAGAGGTACGCTTTGCAACTGAACCTATGGTGTATCCTTGTGCTGGTATAGTTTCTTGTACTGATCTAAGAGAAGCCTGATAGATAGAGACACGTCTTTCCTTATTGGCCTGTAACAAAAAAAGAAAAAAACATAGAAACCTTCTTATGAACTTGACTCGCTTTTGACCTGTTGTTAGTTGCCAAATGTTTAACTTTATTCTTGAGAGCATCCGTTTATAGAATATAAGTTGGTTCATTATGTTTATAATCAGCATCTTTCCCTTAATTACCATGTGACACCTACATTAGCTACTTGTTGCCATTTTCTGCAGGCTTCAGAAGAAACTGCAGCAGATATGACCAACCCGTTGCCAAATAGAGTGGTCCATTCTTCAGCAGACGATGATGATGATCAGGTATGATGCCCTATGTATCAATTGGTCACCTGATGTCTTTTGTTTGAAAATTATTTATCAGGATCACTCTAGTGTCTACTTCGTAATAAAGAAAATGCAAGCAGTTCTAAGCCGGAGCAGAACTTAGTATCCGCTCTTCAGCTGTGCTCCATATGTTTCTTTCGGTCTGGTGAATCTAATTTCCCTGCACTGAATTTCTCCCCCTGTAAGAAGGAATTCTGGCATAAGCTGCATCTGTCTTAGTCGGTCTTAAAAAGGCTACAAAGGCAGATCTATAAGCAGCCCGTGGGGAGTTATCATTCTACATTTAGCAGCAGCAATTCTTGAAATATCATCCATTACTAAAACCGTTATTATTTTAACAGGAGCCATTCATCGAACTTCCTAATCCGTCAGATACAGAACTGGACATACCATCAAATTTCGATTAGAAGATGCCCAGGTTACTTTCGGCTGACTAGTATTTGGATAAATCTGAGCAGTCAGGTCAGGCAGGCAAAATGTACTGTATTCCTAGTGGAGAAATAGTTAGCAAACCCAGAGACGTTGTAGATAACGAAGATTAGGGGCCATGGCCGTGACACCAGGTCTTCTAAAGCCCATGTATTTATCCCTGCGATCGAAGCAGATTTGCTGCGCAATGCTGGTTCTTTATCGATATTGTTCGGAGGTTTAGCTGGATGGCTGCCTGCTCCATCTGTGTTATGATAGGTGTTGAGGACGATTTTCCTCAGTGTGCCTTGTATCATTCTGTATTTTTTTATCATAATCGGTAGCTTTGTTCCATAAGGTATGGTTCTTGGCTTATTTTTTGTTTTTTTTTATAATTGCTCAGTGGAATAAAATAATACTGTGGTTATTTGTGAAGCACAGTGCAAAATCATAATACCCTATTGTTTTCTGATGGAAGCTCAATAAGACGGGCAGTATCTCAATAGCTATCGTCCCATGTTAAGTAATTGCTAGTCAAGTTGTGTAATATTTGTGCAAGTGCGAGTATGTATTGATCGCCCCATTTTAATGTGACCAGAAAAAAAATGTAGCATCTCAATTTTGACATGAAAAACAGACAAAACACTTTTTGAATCAGTAAAGAAGAGAATTCATTTGAGGAATGAAAGTTTTTATTTTATTTTATTACAGGAATGAAAGAGTTTTACTAAGTTAGTAACTATATTATTTTATGGAGGAGCCAAAGACCATAAATGTGTGTAAAATTGGGGAGAGTTTAGCTTGAGAGGGTCAAAATGGGGTAAGTCGGGCCGCAGATAACACTCATGTCCTCCCTCACAATACTTGCGGGACTGGTAATACTTTCTCATAACTTATCGGGGCAGATCAATTCATGCAAATTACCTTGTAATTGTCATCCCTAATTTTATATTATTGTATTAAACTATTTTTTGGGTTTTTGGCTGGTGTTACTGCTACCTAGACAACAGTCGGGAACGCAGATCTTCCAACGGCGGCGCCGCTTCATCTCTTTGCTCTCCTCCGGCGTCATCATCCATCACCAACATATTAAAGAATGTGCAAGTCGTTGTCGTTGTTGCTGGTGGTTGAAGAAGAAGGCAATTTTTGGGTTTCTTCCAGGAACAAGTTGTTGGTGTTGAAGACAACAAAGAATCCTTGCATTCTCACCAGAACCCGTCCAACCTCCCTGATGAACGCCACCACCTGCAAATCACATTCAAAACAAGTTTTAATGCAATTAATGTCATTATTCCTTCTAACGATTACAGGGCAATACACCCTGAAACGGCTTGCGCCGGAAATGCCTTAATCAGGCTTTTAAATCGTCTAATAAATGACAAGGTAGAGCTATCTAAAGCTCCAAATAATAGAGCCTCTTGCGGCCTCTGCATCCGCCATAAAGACAGACGAGATATAAGGGGAAACCCAAACCAAAACACGGCCAAGACACAATTTAGAAGCTGGTTACTACAATCTATAACGAGGCAGTACGCCTAACAACGGCTTGCGTCGGAAATGCAATAACTAAGCTTCTAAAGAGTCATTTTACTAACGGATTTGAGCTTTACCTAGTCCACTAAATCAGAGCCTCCCTATCTAAAGAACCTTACTTTAGGAGAATTATTCCAAAAATAAATTCAAACATACATTTAAAGCCCCATTAGCAACCCATTGATACAAAACAGTCGCCTATTTGGACCAATGCTAGAGGGATTTCAAGCACTCATCCGCCCATCATTGAATTCCTTCGTCCTCTAATCACTTCCTTTTATACCAACAGGATATCAGATTATGGCACTACTCCAAAGATGTAAAATTCACAGTCAAGTCGGGTTATCATCTAGTTATGGAATCGGCTCTGGCCTCAAGTCAGATATCGATAGTTCATATTATCGACCCTCCCATTGCTTGGCTTATAATGATGAATGCCTTGACGACTCGAAGCAAATTGCTTAAATAGGGAAGAATTGGTGATGACAGATGTTTACTTTGTGGATTGGGAAGTGAGGACAGGGAACACTTGCTCTTTGAATGTATATTTGTGCAGGTTGCTGGTGTTGCCCAATGGTTTGCAGAGCCCTGGGAGAGAACATTGAGATCGGCAAGTGATTTGGCTAAGAAACATACGCCAGCAGGAAGAGCAGTTTGCGTTCTATGGTGTGGAATGTCTGCAGCAATATGGAGAGAAAGGTGTCGCAGAATCCATGGTGAAAGCTCCAGGAACTAGTCATGGCAATCGGGTCGGGTTGGATAATTTCGGGTTGGAATCTCGGGTTACGGGTCTTCACGGGTCGGGTCATGATGGGTTTGCTGATTTCGGGTCAAATATTGACCCAACACATCGGGTTTCGGGTCATTTCGGGTCATGAGCGTTCTCAGAAACATATCAAACATGCTTCATAAATTTTTAAAGAACACAAATTTTTACGTATGTGTGACAATAGTTTACCTAGCACATGTCAATTAACAAATGCTCAACTCCTTCCATGCTAATGAAAAGAAATACAAATTGCACAAATTGTAAAAAAAACAATGACGAAAGTAATACTCCTACAATAAATAAATGATGTTTGATTATCTTAACACTCCAAACTTGTCTTTCAAATCCTAATAAATTTTGTTAAACATCTCACCAAAGTATGAGTGATTTTATCAATTTGAGAGTGACATATGCAATGAAACGGGTCTAGCGGGTCGACCCACAAACCAACCCAACCCGACCCAAAAACTACGGGTTAATCGGGTTCGGGTGATTCGAATTTCGGGTAATAAAAACCTCAACCCATTCTCTATTTTTCGGGCGGGTTCGGGTCAGGTCAACGGGTCGGGTCCTCATTTGCCAGGTCTACCAGGAACATTGATGATGTCTGGACTCTAAAATTTGACTTGAGTTGTAGGTTAAGTGGTGATTTATCATTATCTTCTGATTTTGAGAGTATAGGTTTACTTGATCAATTTCATAGTTGATCTGATTTTGTTTACAGAGTAGATAGTGGAGAGTGTTGAAGATTAGCTATTTTATTTTCCAGGGGAGGCTGCAATGGTCTCTCCCTTTCGTTGTATCGATTCAGCATCATGTTTTGCGGTGTCTTCTCAATGAAAAGGATTTGATTCAACGGGAAAAAAGAAGAAAATAACCAAGTAATAAATAAACTATAAAATCTACAACATTCAGTAAAAAATGTAGAAAAGAAAATATGACTATATGAAGAGAATTAGAATTTGTAAATTTAACTAATATGTAACATCTATAATATAATATTAGAGTATTAAATGAAGATTTAAAATGAAAAATTAGACAACCTCAGCATGTAAAAGAACTAAATATAATATCCTCATATTTTTATATCGAGATAGAATTTATAAGATATATTTGCTTCAGGAAAGTATTCAATTCTTAGAACACATAATGATAATTGATTCTAAATTTCCTATTCAAAAATTGGCCTGGTATTAGAGTCTTCAAAAGAGGATTCCAACTAAATAGAATTCATAGGGTATATTTATTTTAGAGAATAATTCAATTACTAGAATATATAATGATAATTGAAAATACTTATAATGATAATAGATTCTACATTTTCTATTCAAAAATTGATTTGGTATCAAGTATTCAAAAGACGATTCCAACTAAACAATAAAAAATGATGTTTTTCATAAGTCCAAATGATTGTTTTACAATAAAAAAGTAGAAGGACCAATTATGAAATTTAGAACACGGAATATTCCAAGAATATTCTGTCAACTTTAACGGAATGCACTTAGCATTAAACTTAAGTGGTACCGGGTGCACATATAATAGAGTTCAGTGGTACACGATGCCCTATTCTTAGTTAAGTGGTATAGCTCCCCCAATTCTCATACTTTAGTGGTATCCGAGATATTTTACCTCATGTTTTATCTTTGTTATGTTTCCAAATGCTAGCTTGCACTTGTTATCTTGTAGTGCAAGCTTTGCCTATTTAAACCCAAGTATGAATGAGAAACACCCAAGGGTTCCTCATCTACTTGGAGAAGCAGAGGGTAGTAGTCAAATAGTACACTCCCCTACTGATTTCAAGGTTTGTTTCTTGGAAGGAATTGTTAGCTTGCAACATTGCAGCATCATATCCTATCCACATTGAAAACTTGGAAGGAATGGTGGCTAGCAACAAAGCATCATCATATCCTATCCACATTGAAGGCTTGGAAGGAATGTTGGCTAGCAACAATGCGGCAGCATCACCTATCCACATTGAAGACTTGGAAGGAATGTGAGCTAGTAACTAAGCCGCAACATATCCCCAGGTAAAGCTTTTCAAAAGATATTTGGAAAGTTAGCTAGCAAGATGCAGTAGCTTCACCATTTGAAGATTGAAGGGAAGTTAAAACTGTACTCTTTCCAAACTTGGTGTGCACATTCTGTGCTCACCCGCTTGCGGGGGTAACATGAGATATTGAAAGATCGTCAAGACTCAAACCGGCGATTATGAATGTCAAAGTGGATCAACAAGGTTTAGAGGAATTATCATCGTCATCAAGTTTAGTTGTATTGTCAATGTCATGTTTTATCTTTGTTATGTTTCCAAATGCTAGCTTGCACATGTTGTCTTGTAGTGCAAAACTTTGCCTATTTAAACCCAAGTATGAATGAGAAACACTCAAGGTTCTAGGATTTCATTTTCCACAAGGACCACAACTCAACTTTGTTGTTATTAACGTATGGATATGTTTATACATGAGGGTGCATGTATGGATATCTGAAGTGATTACAACATAAGGGTAATTGATCTCGATTCTCGGGTTATAGTCATCACGAGTCATATTATGTTTGGGTTGACTAATTTAGGATTAAATATTGACACGATCCAAAACTTTCGGGTAAGGTTTCAGGTCATTTCAGGTTACGAGCGTTCTCACAAACAAGAATAAACATGCTTCATATTTTTCTAAATAACACAAATTTTCATATATGTATACCAATAGTATCTAACACATTTCAATTCAAAATTTTCTCAAATCCTCACATGCTAATGAAAGGAAATACTAATTGCACAAATCACAAAAAAACATTATGAAAGTGATAGACTAATACCACTACCAGGAGCACGTGATCTTTGATTGTCCCAACTCTACAAACTTGTATTTCGTATTTTTGTGAATTTCATTAAACATCTCAGCATAATGAATGATTTTATCATTTGGAGTGTGAGATATGATATGGAACGGGTTAAATGGGTTGACTTGCTGACCCACCCAACCCAAGAAATTGAGGGTTAATTGAGTTCAGGTCATTCGTATTTTGAGTTAGAAAAGCTTTCACCCATTTTTAATTTCTCGGACGGGTTCGAATCGGGTTAACGGATCGAATCGTAATTTTCCAGGTATAGAAATGGGAGAATTGTTCATGAAGGAAGAAGGTTTAGGAAAGGAAAAGGTTTCGTAGTACAAGTCGAGTGAGGTGAGAAGCATATCAGATCAAAGTTTTTTTTTGTTGTTTTTTTTTTCCAATTTGGATGTAAATAATAGATATTAGAAAAATAT